TGTCTCGGCGGCGGTGACAGTAGTGACCCTGGATTGTGTCTCTTCTCGGGAGAGTTGTGATACATGGTGGCTAATGTTTTGTTTCTGTTTCAATGGCCACGGCAGCAGCGACGTTGGTGCTCTTCTCTACTCTACGCCGACCGAAGAACTATGTTTGGTTATAGGAGGTCTTCTTTGTCAGGTTCTGAGTTGAAGTTGAGTGCTTCTCAAGGGTCCTTTTACTGTTGTTTCTATGTTCCTCCTCTATGTTCTCTTCTGGTTTATGATATAGTATGCCTTGCAGTTTGTGTAGGTGTCAAAGGACTATGATTGTGCTCATAGAAGGCTTCTTTTGACAATTGGGATGTTCTGCGATTCTCTCATGTGGGTCTACTATCTTGGTCTCCAGTTACGGTTCTCGTCATTAGTCTTTGTGTTAGTTTTCGTTTTTGATTTGTTTTTTATTGTAATGGTCAAAAGTGACATGAATTGGACTGTCTTGTTAGTCCATGACATGTGTGGTACTCAGGGTTTGTCCCATGAGGTAGTCCTAGGAAGATTTTAACGAGGTCATTGTATCATGTTGCTCTTTATACGTCTTTGATTCTTTGAATGAATTTTCTTTCTTTAAAAAAAAAAATGTTTCCCTTTTAAGTTTTTTTTTTTACAAATGAAATGAACCCGAAAACTCTTAAAATTTCAGCTTCAAATGTAGCATAGAGAACCCTCAATTTTTATTTTTATTTTCCAAAAAGTACCCTCATTTTTTTATTTCCTAGAAGTATCCTTTTAAATTTCATACAACAGATATTTGTGGACTGTCCCGCAAATTTTCTTCCTTCACAGTTCCTCTAGCCTTAGCAAACCCTTGTCTATCGTTCTTGCACACTTGCAGGCACTATCCACAGAAAGCAAATTCTTCAGTAAAATTCAAAACGAAAACAAAAACAAAAATATAGAAAACCCAAACAGAAGGAGAGCTGGGTTAGAGTACAGCAATGCCACACGTGGTCCTCCATCACCCACTCCTCACGCCCTGCCTTTCTCACCTTCCATCATCATCATCAACATCAAGCTTTCCAATTCGAACCCAGAAATCAACGGCCTGGATTCCCCAAAGAAATCATGCGGGTCTGCTCCGCTGGCATCCCACCACCACCATAAGGTGCATGGCTAACCCTCGCAGAGTTGCAATGGTGGCTAAGCAGATAAGGAGGGAGCTTTCTGATATGCTCTTAACTGATAATGTCTTGCAGTACGCTATTCTTCCTGAGGTCGCTTTGGGTGCTGACCGTTATCTCTCTTCTTTGACCACCATTAGTGATGTTGAAGTTTCTACTGACTTGCAGGTGTACATATAGCATTTAGTTCTTAGCATATGTGTGGTTGTTTTTGTTTTCATTTTTGAATTGTGATAATTTTTGCGGGTTTTATTGGATTTGGAATATTGGGGTTTTTGGGTTTATGAATTGCTGGGATTTGGGTGGTTATAAGGTTGTTTAGTGTAAAGTTTATGACTTTTCATTGCTGTGATGGTGTTTTAGGAAAATGGGAGGCAGTGGAAACAAATGGGATAGCTTTAAATTTGTGATTTTTTTTTCCTTTTGCAATGTCATTGCTATTATTTTTTGTTTATATTTCGGGTAATGACCAGGCCTTCTGTGTTTCTTTAGTGCTATCTCTTTTTCTTTTGTTATCTGAAGGTTCGATTTCAAATAACATCTAGCTCAACTTCTCTATTCTTGCGTTCTGTTTTCCCTACGTGATTTCCTCGACTATGGTGAGAGATACTGGCAAACTCCTGTAGTATCTTATAGCCATTGCAATCATGGTTTTATGTGAAATTGTATTGAACACAATTATGCTTTTGCTATTTGCATGATTGCTTTAGGCTTTGGCTAATATGGTTATGAGGTGGGACAGTTGTTTGATACGTTTAAGGCACAAAAATTTCTAGAAATAATTTTTTCTCAATATTATGCTTTATGAGGGATGCACATGTTTGGACCAATCATCAAATATATTGATTGAGAGTTAGAAAATGCATTTCATTGTTCAAGTTCTTGGTGACTAAGCCCATAGTTGCTATCTTGTTTGGATTCTGAGGCAAATTAGTTTCTGTGGCATGTTTAACACTGTCTGGGTAAAAATCGTCTGGCTCAATGCACATTTCCCATTTTAATGATACTAAGGAAATCAAAACTTTTTTCCTCTAGTTTTAGTTCTCTCTATTAGTAGCTTCCCTCAATGTTTCAGTGAAGGTGGTAATGCTCATAATGTGAGGGAACTTATGGTTCTAGACGTCTTGTTGACTATAGTTTATTTCTTTGACTACAGGTGGTTAAAGTATATGTTTCTGTTTTCGGCGATGAAAGAGGAAAGGAGGTTGCCCTTGCAGGGCTAAAGTCAAAAGCCAAATATGTCCGCGGTGAATTGGGAAAGCGTATGAAGCTTCGGTTGACTCCTGAGATACGCTTCATAGAAGATGAGTCTTTAGAGAGAGGAAGCAGGGTAAGATTAGTACTACTTTATTTCATTGATATGATTATCTATATATCTATAACTGGGAAGAGAGTGATACAATTGGTTCCTCTTGCACTTTCTTTCCTACTTTTCCCATTAAAGTACTTAAGTTGTTATATTGGTGGTTCTTGCATTAATTAAGCTTCAGATATAAGTTGGTTAAAAGTTAATACAAGTCTGATTGGGCAAAAAAGTTTGAAATATGCAACTTTGCACAAGTTGTATCTCATAAATAACCAACTTTGATTGTTTCCTTGATTACTTAATGTAGAAGTATAACTTGACTTTGAGCCTATAAAAATTGTAGAAAATACTTCCCTATTTATGCTATTGAATAGTTTTGCTGGTCTTAGCAGGTTAAAAATCAAAAGGAAAAAATAACAAAAGTTGATTCCCCTTTTGGTTGCTTATGCAACATGGATTTTGGAAGTTTTGTCACATAATAATCATTATAACATTGCTAATGAACATTCGCATTCCGTTTTCTGTTTATTACTTGGTTATCTCGACTAATTTTGTGCTTGTAGACTTACTTCTAAGGTGGGTGTCAATTTATGCTAATTCGTCAAAGTTGAACCATTTCAGGTGATTGCAATATTAGATAAGATAAAGAATGAAAAGAAAGATCCCGACATTCAAGATGAGGAGCAATTGGAATCATCCGAGGCACCTCAGGATGACACAGATTGGGAGGGTGATGACCCTGATGAAGACATTATATACATAAACTAGTTTCTTCCCCTACTTTCTTAACATTTTGCTTGTTTGGATTCAGGCATGGCTTTGCTTGGCAGCAGGTTCGTCTCATTTTCATGAGTTTGAATGTTGTGACACTCTGGCTATATTGATTGCTATCAATGCTATAGTATTTACAAATATTTATGTTTCTAATTGTTTCTTGTCCACACACTGAAATTGGACCCAGACGTAGTTCAAATGAAGCTGATTACCTGAAATTTGGTTTTATAATGAATCATGATGATCAATTTGGGTGCAATATATGAAGGGTTGTTGGATAAGCTTTCGGAAAGAAATACTGTTGTCATTGTGTATTTGACTACAATTAAGATGTAATAAAATAGTGGCATATTATGTTTATACTAGGATTTAAAGTAATAGCATACTATGTTTGGAGTTGGAATTTCTGAAATGGACCCACAAAATTGCCAAATTTAATATGTAAGCTGTGTTTTCGGGGCTTTTGATCTCTGAAACGCCTCCCACTCCACAGGGGTCTCGGAAGTTGGAACTGCTTGCAATGGTGCAATGTTATGCTCGTTTCATAAAATGCAGGGAAGAAGTGTATAATGTTTATTTTACTTTCTGTGATGCAGGCAAACACCGTACGTCACAATGCTAACCTGGACAGAAGAAACTCCTCGCAGTTGGAGCCATCTTTTGAATTACAAGCTTCAGCCATGTCTCACATTGTAAAATTACCTAAAATATTTTTGTGCTTTTCTTCAGGTATGCTTGTGATTTGCTTTTTGTTTTGGCTAGTCGTAACACCAGAAGCAGGCCCTGTGTTATTTAACTGTTATATAGTTCAAACCCCTGCACAAAAGTGACAATGCACATGATGTGAATGGAATCATCATGTAAACACGTCTGCCTTTGGGATTTTCTACTGTTTCTGCTCTACCACAATCGCTTATATATTGATAACGGACACTAGTTATTGATGTTGGTAGTCACAATCAGGCAAAGAATGACTTTGAAGAACTGATTTGATAGTTTCTCTGTTAGCTATAAGTGATAGTTACTTGTCAAGGAGCCCATGAATATCGGTTGATAACAAGCATCGACTTTGAGAGTTAATTCTCACTCCAAGAGCCTATGTACGATGCATAATGTTATAAGAGTAAAGACAAGGATGAACATGATGTAAAGGGTTTTATTTTCTAGTGGTGCAAAAAAGAAAAAAATCTAGCCCTTTAGAGGTTCAACCAAAAAATGTTAGGATCCTCAATGACAAATTTTGTTGATGACAGTAACATTCGGTTGGTATGTGGACATGTCCTATGAGGTTACTCAAATTATAACACATCTACAATTATTAAAATATTATAATTTGAGTGGATTCGTAGCATGTCGGTATGTGATGCACTATTACCCTCCATAACATAGATATGAATTTTAAAGATCTTAGGTTACTCTAATGCGACCCAAAATTTTCTTTTACAAGATCCTTGTTTCCCTTAATCAAGCTACTCCAAAAGCAGGGATTAGGAATGTGCACCATGTCACCCTTGAGAAGTTACCACAAATTGGAAGATTGCTTCCATTTTGATTAGAAAATATACGTCGTAGAGCCCAAAGGCAAAGGGAAACACAATCAAAGGGAACAACTTTTTTTTTTTGAGGGGCAAGAAAAGGGAACTTGAACAAGGAGTGAGGAAAAAAGTATCGAGGGATGAGATTCTTTGACATTTTTGTCGTGGGTGACAACTACTGAGGGATAAACAAAATGAACTAATGAAGGGTGAAAACAGATATGAGTTTTCCGTTTAGCCTTTTGTTGATATGAATTGGTAAAACTGGTGTATAAATCATTTTCGTAAATATTAAATAATTATTAATAACACATGAACGTAAAGTAAAGAAACTGAACCTATGCATATCAATAGGGGACAAAGTTTACAGCCTAAAATGGGATCACAATTCCAAGTTCTCTACAAATCCCAACTTGACCTTTGCCAATAGTACTCAAATGTCTAGGGTTTATGGAACCCGGGGAAATAATTGGAGAGACATTGATGGTACCACACATCTATAGATTGTTGATGGCATTCTAATGTCTAGGGTTCATGCCAACCACATCTGAAACTCTTCACTCCATGTAAGATAGGCGCACTTTAAATGAGTAACGCATCACAGTCAACCAGAGATTCATAACATGCAAGACTAATATTCAGGTATAATTAACTGTTACAGCAAAATAACCCAATAATGAAATTGAAGCCAAATCATGATATTAAAAAAAAAGAAAAAAAAAGATGGGCAACTTATTAATCAAGGGAGCATTACCCTCTTAATTTCACTAAAACCAATAGAAATTGAAATGCCGTTACGATAGGCGAGGTCAAGTACATAAATTGTCCTAAAGTGCTGAATTCATAATTCTCAATTTAAACCCAAAAAAACTTGGAGCTTTAAGCAAGGTTTTCATTATAGCTCTCAGAAGTGAAATATTGGTACACTCCACCCCCATTCATTATTTCTATCTCCAAATCAACTCATTCCTCACTCAACTTCTGATAGAACACATCTCCTTCAGTGATGAGCCTTTGCTGCAGATTTCGCCTTTGCCTTGGTGGGGAGAGAACAAAAAAGGAAATTAGCAAACCAATACAAGACTGCCACTACTTGCAAACACAACTCAAACACAAGACAATACAAGTAATTTGATTCAGCCTTAAAGGTGAGCATTGGTTAACCATGTACTAAAGCTAGGTTGACCTGACAGATTTGTCTTGACATGTTAAACCATCTTAGGTCATGTTGAAGATCAAGGATGATTAGGAACAACAAAATATATTATAAATTCGTAATTTAGTTCTTTAAAATGTTAACCTCATCACTTGTCTTCATTCCTCATTTCCAGTTTCTGCACATTTGAGCAACCCCACTTCCTTTCTAACCCAATACTGTTGCATGATTTCCATCTACATTTGAACATAAATCTCAACTCTACCCCTAATTTGAGGCCTTTGTTTATTAACTTACAAATCCAACAACTACAAAGAGTTTTGTCCTCTCACATTTACTCAAGCAATCTTGATGACATATCATTTTTGGTTCTTTGCCCCTTACTTGTAACCTTAGTTTATTATCTTAAAACTGGCAGGCCACAAAGTGTTTGTTCTCTCTCACATTTTACCCGAGCAATCCTTAAAACATATCATGTTTGGTTTTCCCCCCTCCAATGCTTATTAATATGAGATGACATTAAGACCATATTGCTAGTTGCTTAGGAAAAATTTCCATAATCTCCCCCTTTTCTTCTTTTTTCAGAAAGCTCTGTATACATCCTCGACTTTTTCCCCCCCTTTCCCTTTGTACGTACATATTATTTTTTGCAGTGAGTCCTTGTGAGTTATGATTGTGGGTTGTGACTGTTAAGCAATTACGAAGCTACAGTGAAGGTAAAGTTAATAGCTAAACCTAGAAGTTCTCATGCTTTGTACTTTGCTCGTGAAGTTCTTGCAACCTAGAAATATTATACTATTGTGTATTAAACACACTACTCAAGAAAAGTGGAACTTGCTCAAACTGTATATAACAATTAACAAGTTGGCTTTGAACTATAGGAGTGTGAAAAGAAAAAAAAAAGGAATCTGTACGAAAGTCCTTTTCACTGAAAGACTATGTCTGCACGTCTTTTAGACTTTCATTAACTCTTCTATGACAATTCAGTAACTTTCTTTTATTTATCCATCACTGGATGCATGTTACATTAGAGACATCATCCAATACACCTGCCACTAAGCAGCCACTCTTCAAACCAATGTCGATGGAATTGGATGACAATGAAAACAATTACTCCCGAGTAAAATAGCACAGGGCAAAGGAAGAACTAAATAATATCCAAGAAAGCATCAGGATAAGAGGATAATATATAACCGAACTATTTCTTGATTACTGCTACTAGCCACTGAAACTAGCTTGAAATCAGCTTTTCAAATGGTGATTAAACATAAACATGCTCTTCCATGAACACAAGGAAAACATACATATTTTTCATATGAAAATGGAACCCAAAGAATATAAAAAAGACCAATCTGCAGATACAAGTTTACCAACATCGATTAAAATCTACATAACTTATTACTCATACCAAAATTAAAGCAAACCCAACAACCATTTGTAATCAGAAACACACTATGAACTTATCTTACAAAAAACAAACAAATGGGTCATTCAAAAAAAGATAAAAGAAATAGGAAAGGCAGTACCTTGAGATACTTGAGCTTAATGCTTCCGTATACGAGTCCAAAGGAGAATGCGGAGGCACGAGCAACCTGCAAATCCAGAGGAACCCATATCACTAATTAGATTATTAATCGACAAATTGGTCCAAAATTCGAACTTTCTAGCTTTTACCAAATTTAAAATAAAATATTTTTTAAAATAGTTAGATCCGGAACGGAAAAAGAAAAAGAAGAGATTTTTCAAGGGAATTACCAAGGCGAGGGTGCTGGTTCCAGAATAGGGTCCTGGAGGCGGGGCCATTTTTGTTCCTGGAGACTGTTAGATGATAAGCAATAGACGAAGCGAACAAGAAGAAAATCTGTAAAACCTCCAAAGTCCCAAAGCCCGAGCCCTATATCAGCTTTCAGTAAGCCTTTATATATATGTATCAAGTAATACGATCACGATCGTCCGTCCACCGTTCCATCTGGTTGAACCCACCATTTGTGGAGTCAACCAATAAAATACCAACACGTCGCTTTTTTTTTTTTGTTCAGAGAAAAAGTTAATTACAAATTTGGCCCCTAACTTTTAGTGCTTTTCCACTTTGGTCCTTCGGTTTTTTTTATTTTTTTAATTCAAAGTTGATTCCTGAAATATTGGAATTGTGTTAGGCCTATTTGGGAGTGCTTAGGAGCAAGTCCAGCAGTGGAGGCTGGGCTCGAGCTTGGGGGAAAAAGTCGTTTCCAACAGCGTAGGCAGGCTCATGTAGGTGGTGGATCCCAGTAGACTGGGCTAGTCCGAGGGGGAGGCGAGCCCGTGCGTGAGCCTGAGTTTTGGGCTGATGTCATGCTGACGCCAGTGTGGCATCAGCCCTTCCATTTGAATTTTTTTTACCGGGCTCTCCGATTGGATTTTTTCCTCCAATCCAACGGCAGCCAATTTTTGTGCAATAAAAAAATGAAAAAATTTCGAATTTTTTTTTAAAAAATACCCAAAAATTAATGATTTTATTTTTTATTTTTAATAAATACCAACCAATACTCTTCACATTTAACACCAAATCCTCATACATTTTCCTCTCCTTCAACTATTATTAACTTTCTACTCAATATTTTTTTCACTTTCAAGTTTTATTTTTCAATCCAACGGCAGCCAATTTTTGTGCAATAAAAAAATGAAAAAATTTCGAATTTTTTTTAAAAAAATACCCAAAAATTAATGATTTTTTTTTTATTTTTAATAAATACCAACCAATACTCTTCACATTTAACACCAAATCCTCATACATTTTCCTCTCCTTCAACTATTATTAACTTTCTACTCAATATTTTTTTCACTTTCAAGTTTTATTTTTGTCTATCCGAAATTTGAAACTGAAAATCTTATCCGAAAATTTTATCCGATTATGAGATATGAATTTTATAATAAATATTGACAAGTACGAACCCAAAAATCTTATCCGAAAATATTGTCCAAATTAATTTTTTAGGTAAACAGATTTGTGAAAAAAAATGAATAGTGTTTGCAACTAGAAACACACATTGCTTTTTGCAAGGGCAGCTACTATTCACATGAATAGTAGCTGCCCTAGCCCTCCCCTTGCCATGGCAAAGGGTTCACTGCTGGAAGTGCTCCACGTAGGAACTTTTTAAATTTAGGGTCTAAGAGCATCCACAATAATACTCTCTATTTTTTTAGTTAAATTTTAGCTAAAAACATATAAAAGTTATTTTAGGAGCTCTCTATAAAATTTAAACTCCAATCATGCTCTCTAGTTTAGAAAGTCATAAATGCTATAACTCTTTTGTAATTGGTCCATTTCTATTAAAAAATAATATAAAAAATAGTTAGCATTAATTAAAGGTTTGAAATACTCATTAAATAAAGCAGTATTAAATCATATGGAGACACTATGAGTTCTTTCTCTCTCCTCAGATTTAGGAGCTCCTAGAGGTTTCTCTATTTCAGGAGGTGAATAGGGAGCATAGTTGGAGTTGTGTTTTTTCAATTCCTCTCTAAAATTTGTCTAAGGAGGTGATTTAGAGAGCCCATTGTGGATGCTCTAATTACTGGCGTTGTCGTAAGCTCTCCTCACCCTCCTCCAATTGAGAGTCAGTGGCTCCTCCCCACTCGGGAATGTGGTTTTTTCCTGGATTGCCTCCTTTTGGATCCCCTAAGTTATGCCCAAATCTTAAAATCGTAATTCTACACTTTCTCCCCCAGCAACTAACATTGTTTTTTAACCTCCACTTCTCACTTCTACATTCCCCTTATCCCCCCTCTTTATTATGGCATCCTCAACCCCCTCACCTGAGGTTGCTGCCTACAAGAACTTTCAACCACCAATGTCATATCCCAGGATCGGCTCCGCCGTAGCACGATATTGTCCGCTTTGGGCCCCCCCTCTCTGCCTTCACGGTTTTGTTTCTGGGAACTCACAAGCAACTTCCTACTAGGTCACCAATCCTGAGATTGCTCTAACCCCAACTCGCTTAACTTCGGAGTTCTCATAACTTCGAAGCCAGTGAGCTCCCAAAAGGCCTCGTGTTAGATGAAGCGGGCATGTACATATAAGGCACATCACCCCCTCTCCGTTGGTCGACGTGGGATCTTACAATTCACCCCCCTAAGGGGCCCGACGTCCTCGTCGACACACTCGCTCCACACAGCAGAGTGGCTCTGATACCAAATTATCACATCCCGGGATCGGCTCCGCCATAGCACGATATTGTCCGCTTTGGGCCCCCCTCTCTGCCCTAACGGTTTTGTTTCTAGGAACTCACGAGAAACTTCCTAGTGGGTCACCCATCCTGGGATTGCTCTAGCCCCAACTCGCTTAACTTCGAAGTTTCCATAACTTCCAAGCCAGTGAGCTCCCAAAAGGCCTCATGTTAGATGGAGCGGGCATGTACATATAAGGCACATTACCCCCTCTCCGTTGGTCGATGTGGGATCTTACAACCAACCTTTGTTCCTCCACTTCATGAATGCCTTTATAGTCAATCTTCCTTGGTGACACATTTTGGTGGAGGGATGTGTTTAACGTGCAGTGTGCATTATTTTCTTGAATTATGGAAGTGCATTTTGCAGTGTGCACTGTTTAACCCTTGTCTAGTTACCAAATACTCCTCCTTGGTGGCAATGGACTTGTGATGGTGGTGTGACTATAGCCTAATTTCATATCTAAGGGTTTCTATTTTGGGAATCATTCTATGATAAAGGTGCCTTATATGGACCACAGATGTGGACCTTCATCTTCGCCACAAGATTCGTCTAAATAGTAACTTCACTTAAGTTTAATGAAATGATCATGTAGCTAATATGAAAGGTACACATGAGGGGTTTATATATGGCACCCTCCAGCCTAGGGGGAGATTTATAAACTATTGAACATGATTTAAATTTTATAAGTTTTATTCCTACTCCAATAAATATTAGCCCACTTCTGAAACATATAGGAAATAATAAACATTAATCCAAACCTATATAAATTTGATTAGAAGCAGAACTCATGCTAAGGCTCTACCAACTTGAGCTATTCTAATCGTACTGATATTGGGCTACACCCATAGAGATCAACAATCAAAAAATTTCTTCTAGCCACCCAAAATGCCATTTTTGAACCTTGAGCCTATAGGAAATAACTCTCCTCTAAAAAATTGTACCAACCTATCTTCAATGGGTTCTTCAATCTTGGTAAGTTTTTCTCCTTTTTTTATATATATTCAATTTCCAATTTTAATTGTTGTTGTTAAGTTGTTATGATTTAGGGTTTGGGTGAAATTTTTTGGAGTTGTTGATATATATTTTATTTTTGCAACTTGAATTATTAATTAGCATATATAATCAAAGATTTTGATAAACTCAAAGAGAGAAGGGTTCCACTTCACTAGGTATGCTCTTTATATTTTTTTGCAATCGAATATTTTTTTTTTTTTTTTTTTGAAGTTGGACAATGTGTTTGATTTGGTATTTATTTATATTTTGTACTTCATTATGTTATATTTGCTCGTAATGTGGCCTTGTTTGATTTATAAAATTAAATTTATAACTCTTCTATATAATTTGTTTTTTAAAATTTATTTAACCTACCCCTATAAAAATTTATGGATCCGCCATTGCACCCTCACTATAGAATTTTGCTCTATTTTGGAGTCTTCTATTTTGTGTTGTTTTGGGCTGCATCTTCGCTATTTGGACTTTGACCATGCTTAACTTCTGTTTTGTGCATTTTCTGTTGGGCATTATTGGGCTTTCCACATCTTTTAATGTCTTGCACTTCCAATGAACGAAGTTAGTATGACCCAGGAAAAAAAAAATTAGGAACTCTTTATGCTCATACGCACATTTACTAGAAGTACGTTGAAACTCATTGAAAATCCAAGTGTTTTCAAGAAGAAGAAAAAAAACCTTCATAAAGCATAGGCATTTTTATAATGGCACAAAGCAAGGAAAATGATTATGGTTCTTTCTCGTCTCCTTCCATCGCGTTCTTGAGTCACTAAAAAAAAATTAATGATCACACATTATACAAAAAATTAGATACTCTTGAACGTCGGAACAAATTTACAATCCGTTAGCGGGTAGTATGATCGACTCGTGCCTTCTTAAAAAAATAACTCCCAAATTTGCCCAACATACAAGAACAACCAAAGAATTTGGCCTTCCTTCCCATGACACCAAATGCATATCGTGAAGGCTTATGAAGGATTAGTAACCCAACAACAAAGATCGAAGAAGAGTTCCATCATAAATTTTTCCCTTAATCATATACATTTCAATTTCTTGAGTTACATGCAATTGTTAGGGTTTGCTATTTTGCATTAAAAGACACTACAAGAAGATATATATACCGTGTTGGTCATGAGACGTTTATTTTGGAAAGATAATATTTGCACGAATACATATGAGTTTGATCCATTTTTTGTTGTTATTTTGGGATAACATGTTATGTGGGGGTGGGGCATGCATGGAGTGGCTGGCTTGTGGCAAGTTCGTGGCCAATGACTGTGGTTGTGGTATATCCCTTCTTGTCTTGAAGCTGCGGTAGCTGCTTTGTCATCCCCATAATTGTTAGCCACTTCTCTTGATTTGCAAGAGTTGAAGACTCACTTTCAAACTCACAAATTGCAAAAAGATGTTTTTGTGAAGTTTTGGAATATTACTACTTGTTTGCACATAATGAATGGATTGAGTCCAAATAAGAGGCTTGAGTCGATAGCCCCCATTGGCTTACGTAACATGAATTGACTACAATTAAGTTGCAAGTAGTTTGAAATTGAGAAAAGTTTCTATATCTTTTTTCGGAGATATTATGTCGTCAGATTACCAATTAAATTATTAGTTAAAATGATGTTTGTTAATTTGAATTGTGATCTAATTTTATCTATTTAGAAATCTTACATATCAAAAAGTCCATTATCTTTATATACAAT